GCACCTCGCCTGCGTGAGGGGACTGACGTCCCGTCAGCTGGGCTGAAAGCCGTTTGGCCCCTCCTTCTTCGGGCTTCTCATGCTTCGTTAAATAAGTCACGTTCCTCGAAACGTCAGACTACTTCGGATTTATGAAGCCATTTAAATAAAGAAGCTGGCAGCACATAGACAGCGGTACGGTGTTGTGTTAGAGCTTTGCTGGTGTAGGGATATGGGGGTGCTTTTACATTGCCTCAGAACTCCCAGCGCCTCCTGAAACATGGGTGGGGAGAGTTGTCTGCGTAATTGATTGCATCTTCAAAAAAAAAAAAACCAAAACAATCTTTGTGAACACTAAGTAGTAGCTGTCATCTTAGTACTCGGCGGTGGGGGCAAGGCAGTACTTTCATTTGGGGTACGATAACAGTGGTTCAGGTGTGCTGTAGGTGTCTTTTGGGCGTTAGTGGCTTAGACTGCAAACGGTGCCGCTGGGTACCTAGCTAGATGCTCTGAACGTCTAGCTGTCTCTTCAGCCTCTTAGAGCAAGGTCATCTTCAGGCTGTAGGAGGAACTTTCTTCACACTCACCATAAGTGAGTTCGATGCTAAAATGTAGGTAGGTAGGTTTGACTTAAATTTATGTAATACAAGGGGGGTTTTGCCCGACAGGGTTGAAAACAGCAGGAAAAACATAATGCTGGACACCAACAACATCTGAGCTTTCCTAGAAAATAGCCGCATCTTAAAGAGCTTCAGTCACTGAACTGTAGTCTAACTATACGGATGTGTATTGGAATCTCAGTGTACTTCAGGAACAGAATTGACATTTTGCCAAGAGAAAAAGAAACAGTAAATCCGCGCTTCTTCATTTAGGGGCTTACATAACTTCAGTGTACTTAATATCAGAAGGTTAGAAACACTTCCATGCTAAGAAAACAGTTGGAGAAGTTGCTGCTGGTGTCCAGCTTTGTCTCTGCCCAAAGGTGACTGGGCAGCTAGTGAAAGTGAATTCCTTAGTGTGGAGAGATCTGACATCTGCAGAATGTCAGGAGCAAAACAGTTCAGACACGATTAGTTTCAAGCAGCGTGCTTAACCAGAGTCGTCATTTTGCCATACAGATACTTGAGGCTGTATTCTTACAAACGTGAATCTTCAACTCGTTCACGTCAGGAGAAATCAAGATCCCGCTGAGAAAGGGGGGGTCCTAGTGAGAATTATCTCAGTAGTAATCATCTCCAGTTTTTCTAGTTCTTTGATTTCTGCAGAACCCATGACAAATGCTGTATCCTGTTCTAAAGCACGTCTACGTTCCAACAGGACATCATTCATGATCCTGGCCGAGGCGCTCCCCTGGCCAAGATTGCCTTCCGTGACCCATACAGGTTTAAGAAAAGAACCGAGCTTTTCATTGCTGCTGAGGGTATTCATACCGGTCAGTTCGTTTACTGCGGCAAGAAAGGTGAGTAAAGATGGAAAGCGTGTTGCCTGGGCAGTTTCAGAAGGCTAAAGCAGGTGTCATCTGAATACGTCAAGTTCAGGATGTTTAAGTGCAGTTGTGAGCCATCACAGAGCAGTAGCTTCCACTAGCCTCAAGCAAACCTAGGTTTCCTTCTTGGAGATTGTGGTCCCCTCACGCAGCCTGTTCTAATTCACAAGCCTATTGGCGGTTCTTGCCAAGGGTTTGGATTGTTCTGTCTCGAGTCCCGTTTTGCCTGCCTTTCCGTCAGACTGAGCGTGAAACTTGTGTTTCAAGTCAAACAACAAGAAGTGCCCCTGCCTGTTGCTACTGAAGCGCTTCTGCGGTGCCCTTCTACTGTGCACAGGGGCCCGTGTTAAATAGGATTGTAATTCAAGTACAGGAGCCTGAATGAAGCTGTTGATGCTCTGATTGCTCTTTGCAGCTCAGCTGAACATTGGCAATGTTCTACCTGTTGGCACCATGCCAGAAGGCACCATCGTGTGCTGCCTCGAGGAGAAGCCTGGTGACCGTGGAAAGCTGGCCCGTGCTTCTGGAAACTATGCCACCGTTATCTCTCATAACCCTGAAACAAAGAAAACCAGAGTGAAGCTGCCTTCTGGCTCCAAGAAAGTGATTTCTTCTGCAAACAGAGCTGTTGTTGGTAAGGAGCGACAGCTATGAACTTGTCGTGTCACTGAGTTTACGTACTGCTAAGCAAGCTTGCAAACAGGGCCCCAGTTCCCAATACTGTCTAGAAAATAGCATAATTTACAGGCTGGAGCCAGGGTTATGCACCGCTACAGTCTGTGCGCAGGTGCCTAGCTTGTATATTATGCCTGCATTACTTTCGGTAATGGGAACTTGAACTCGGAGATAATTTGACCTAGTGAGAGGACAGGAAGGTAGATGTCCTCAGGCTGTAATGGCGCGCTCAGCCTGTAGAATCTGCAGTCCTCTGGGAAGAACTTCTGCGGAAAACGGCGTTGATGGTTTCCCGCTTTTGATACAGCGACTGAGCCCATAGGGGTAGCGCTGAAGGTGCTTAGCCGCCGTAGGTGTTCTCAGGTGCGTGAAGTATTCTGGAAGGTCTGACAATGAATAAAAATACCGTTGTCGAGAAGGGGACATCTTACCAGGTTCGTTATGCACTTGACTGGTAGCTGTGCTTGTTTTTTGACACTCAGTCTAGTCCCGGGCAAGCGTTAAAGGTGCAAGGAGAGAGAGAGAATGGTTGGACTCAAGCAGTTTTACTTGTCTTGACGAGATGGAAGTTACCAAATGTCCCTGCACCCAAATAGAAGACATCAAAATGAATAATCTGTGGTCTGTTACTCTAGTAAAATTGACTAAATAAATAAGGAAATAACTCACTCTTAAACCTCAGAGGGCTCTAAAGTCCACTGAGCTCTTTCAATTCATACTTTTTTTAGTTACAAAACACTAACAAAACTTTTCTCCCCCCAGGAAATTCTAGCAATAAAACTGGTAATGCTTTAGAAAAAGTGCTAAGCTCAATCCTACATGTATGGATTGAAAGGTGGTCATTAAAGTATGTGTCTCCTTGCAGATCACTTAATGCGTGGCTAGTAGCTTGAGCTTAAGCAGGCACATCTCCTTGTGCGTGTTGTCTGGAAAATACTACTGCAAATACACGGTTGGGATTGTTTGAGACTGGTCTTCAGAAGCTTATTCTTAGACCTTGAATATTATTAGGAATTAGTCTTGTTCTTAAACTGTTTCTTTCACACTCTTGTCTGTTACATTTGCATGTTATCATTCCTGTAATTTTTTCAGGAATTGTTGCTGGTGGAGGCCGTATTGACAAGCCCATCCTGAAGGCTGGCCGTGCCTATCACAAATACAAGGCGAAGAGGAACTGCTGGCCGCGTGTCCGTGGTGTGGCCATGAATGTGAGTCTATTTTCAGTTAGAGTTCTCACTTTCCTTTTTTTATGGTTTAGAAAGGATTTGTTTGATATGGGGAGGAGTCTGGCATATATCTGGAAAGAAAGCTTCACAGACTACCCTGTAATTGCACATTTAATTGGGGTAGTTAGCAGCACTTGGTAGTTACTGCACCGTGTGAAAAATGGAGCAGTTAAATTTTTTGTTCCCTTCAATCAGTTTATTGCTGTTAAACATCATTACTCATTTCTGTTGTTAATTATATTGACGGCTTGATTTCCTTTTCCACAGCCTGTAGAACATCCCTTTGGTGGTGGTAACCATCAGCACATTGGCAAACCTTCAACCATCAGGAGAGATGCTCCTGCTGGGCGCAAAGTTGGTCTCATTGCTGCCCGTCGTACGGGTAGACTGCGTGGAACAAAGACTGTGCAGGAAAAGGAGAACTAAAGACCCAGTATGGAGTTCACAGAATAAATTTTTAAAACATAGCTTGTGTGAAGTTCAAGTTATCTGTCGCTAAAGTGTGGCTAAAATAGGGATAATACTCAGCTTCACCAGGGGAAGTTGTGAGTGGAGATGAGGTTTTTTTCCCCTGCCTTCGAGAGCAGGAATTCTTTCAGCCAGCACTTTCAGTCTGTAAGCGGGAGTAACACTTGGTGTAGATGCTCTCGTGCCCGGATGTGATGTTAACGCTTGCCTAGTTACGTGGTTGCTTAGGCCTGACAAAGCGTTACAGACTGATCCAGTAATCCCTTGGTTACCTGGTTCAACTTGGGAATCTAGCTGAAACGGTTAAAGGGTGCTCAGTTTTCTAAGTTCATAGACTCTAACATAATTGCTTTCCATTTTTATCTGCTATGCGTCTTTGGAGGAAGAGCTTGTGGGAGTAGTGGAACTCCTTACAGAGGAAGCGTTTCAGCTACTATTGCTGTCAAGTTTGAGCTTCCTTTCTGAACCATCAAGCTTCAAACAAATCGAAGGTACTTCCATCTGAGCACAGACTCAAAGTTTGAAGTATCACAGAGCCTGCCACCTTTACTCACCGGTGTTTAGACAGGGCAGAGCAAGCTTCAGCATCACCTCCTTTGCAGGCTGTTGAGCAGAGTGCTGTCCAGCTTTCCATGACTGGATATTCCTAGGTACTGTGGTAACACAGGAAATGGCACTAATGCCTGACACCACAAAGCTGTGTTCTCATAAGAACGGCGGTCTTGGGAAAAGCCAACTTTTGAGGGGGGGAGTGGGGAATGAGATAGAAGGTGTGGCCGTTGCTGCAAAATAGCTTAACTCACAGCCTTCTCGGTCTGGCCTTTGGAAGAGTAAAGCTATCGGAGCAGCTGGAGCTCAAGTTCACTTCTGAGCACTCCTAAAGCGAGGACTCTTCCTCATTCCACAGCACCACCTCTGTTCTTGCTGGAGACACGCGGTGCTGAGGGCACCATAGCAGCACCGCCACTCCTTCTGAATCTTGGCCGAGACTTGCACTGCTGAAGCCTGGGTGCGTGCCCTGGGCTACAGCGCACCCTTCACGTGTGCCTCCCTGCCTCTGCGGGCTGGTACCCAGGTCCCGGGGGCTCCCTGGCCTGTGTACCTGCTGCAGCAAAACAAACCGGCATCCAGGGACAAGTACGCTCCCCGCCTGCTGCAGTGCCAGCACAGCGCACAGTCCTTGTCTGCTGTCTTGACTTCACTGCTGCAAGCCAGCAGCAGAGGGAAGCGGTCAGGTCCAGGTTGTCAACGCGGACTCACCTGCAGACTTCCTTTAGTCACGTCATTCAGTCTGTTGTGGTTAACTCCGGCATAGCTGGAAGTGCTGCCGGAATAGATGTCCTCTAAGGGCTAGACGTTCCCAAACAGAGCGGTGATGACCCTTCAGAAGATGTGACAAGAAGATGCACGGAATGCGAAAACTTTGCTCTTCAGAGCAAAAGATGCTTTCCCTTAGGGTGCCTGGTAGCTTACCTGCAGGAATCAAAATAATGCCACTGGTCCTGAAATGCCCGTGCCAGACCTCCACATATGAGTATGACCTCATATTGACAGGAATCCAGCGGAACGCAAAGCAAGGAGAAAAGTTATTTTCTGTATCTACCCGCAAAAATAATACTGTAGCTGGCCACACATGTCTAGAGAGGAAAAGGTGATCAAAAAAACCACCTCGAACAAAGGCACCAGGTCACATTTGGGAAAAATCTAAAAAGCAATTTGGCAAGTTTTGTTTCTGTTTATATACCCCCAATACCATCAAAGTTTGTGCAAGTTAATGTCTCGTGTTTTTGCCATGAGGTCAGAAGCTCTTGCTTATGTGCCCATATTCTAACGTGGATCTAAATTTAACACCCCTTCTCCCAAACAGTATCGGAAGAACAACAGTTAAAGTATTTAATGTTCAAGTGACTACCTTGGCAAGAGCCAGGTTAAGAGAGATTTCACAATACGTCAAATACAGTAGAAGCTCCCTCGCGTGAGACCTGTTCTTTCGGGCTGTTGGTGCAAAGAACTTCTGGAACAATTTGCATTAAATGCCCCTAAGGGACGCGCACAAACCATGGTTTCCAACCACGCTTGGATTCGTTGACTCCATGTATTTTCTAGGAAAGGGGCAGATTCTTACCGACAGCACTCGCCGCCTTTCTTGCTGGTCCCAGGCTCTGCCAGGTAGCTCACAGACTGCCAGGCGTCCGCAGCCAACAGCTGGAATACCAGTGCGCTAAATCTGTAGGTATGGAATAATGGCACGAATAAGTAAGTATCGTATTGCTGACGGTAGCTACAAACACATTTAATGTCAATACCCAGGATGCAATGCCAAGAGTCACTTTAAATTCACACGCTCGTATGAGGATTGTGAAGATTTAAGTCCATTCTCCAAACTGAGGAACAATTGCTCTTGTGGCAAGTAACTGTTGTTAGAGTACAGTCTCTTCTAAAGTTTGCTACAAATTGGAGGCTGCTTTTTAATGTTGGCATCCCATCGGCCTGAACGCTCACAACACCTTCTAGCGGCTCCTTTGGAAAGACTACCTGGAAATGATAGCCAGGGTTGTGAAAAAGCCTGGAGTATGTTCCAAACGTTACCCCGTAACCGTGCTGAACAGGGAGTTTGTGCCAGTCAGCTAAGGATGTCCATCTGTCCGCACATGAAAGCTTTAAGCGTTTGAACAGGTAATAAAGTGGTCCCTGGGGCAACGCACGTTTCAGAGCAGCAGGACGGGACTGCTTGGGCAAACTGCACTGGAGGAGCAGATGCAGCCAGAGGTGGAATTTTATGCAAGATGGCGCTTAGAAAAAATTGTGGGGAGCCCACGTGTGTGCGCACACGCAGAGCAGAACTTACGATGGCGAAAATCAGGCTGCAGGAACCACTGCGCTGGTGGAACCGCACCACGGGTATCCTGAAGGTGGCACAAAGGCCACCGACACCCACGGGAGTCCTCAGCCTCGATGGCGTCAAGCCAAGCCCCTCGGCCCACCGCGGGGAGGTGTGAAAGGAGCAGCTGCTTAGTGAAGCGGTGGGCACATACAGACAGGCTGCCAAACGATCTGAGGCGACAAAATACCGAAGAGCAATATCGGAACCTACTTCTTCCAGAGGGGAAACTGCTCCAGAGACATTAAGTCCAGTAACATGCAACTTACTTTAAATTTAAAAAGCCGCAGTGATACTAACAAGCGACCACAGCACAAGACATTCTCCAGGGCAAAACGCTCCCCCCAGCACAAGCCCCGTGGGTGCTATAAATTTGTGAAAAGAAATGGGAGGGAAGAGGGAATTAAATAAAGTTAATTTATTTTTAAATAAAAATCAGAGGATCTGAAGAAAGCAACCTAAAATGAAGAATTTCAATAATCTGAAATATGTTTTCCAAACTGAAGGTCAAACTTAAGCTGTAGAATAGAGGGTAAACTCCAGCAGATTACACAATAGGGGAAATTAACTCACAGTGTGACAAGAATAAAAAAAAAAACAAACACAAAAATATACCGTTGAGTTACTAACAAGCTTACTTCAGCCTGGGAGGATGTGTGAAAGCACTGAATGGAAAATGAAAATGGGAGTGAAGTTAACGTCAGTCGCTGGCCTCTGCGTGGGCTGAACGGAGCGTCAGCCTCCTGTGGCAGGCAGGAGGTTCAGCTGAACAGGGTAGCAGCTCCTTCTGAATTTATGCTGTAGAAATGGGAAATTAAACAAGACAGAGACACCGCAAAGAAGCGGGGCGCCCTCCTTTGCCACCTTGGCTGGCAAGATCCTCGGTGTAGGCTCACTGCTTTCAAACAACAAAAATGCGGTGCGAACATGGCAGTACCGAGCGGGACGGCGTGTGGACCGTTGATAAATCAGGAGCATTTTGTCACCAGGATCTGGTGTATTTAACCATGATCTATGGCTGGTCCTGGGATTCACGGGTGGGAGATCTCCCATACAGTGAAGTAAACTGATTGGAAATAGCCCCCCTTATTTCCCGCCTTGGTTGGTATCGCCTCCATCCCGCAGCACGCAGATGTCTGCTGCGCTCCGGTGCTACACAGCTCGGGTACCGCTACAGCCCTGGAGTGCCAACAGAAGAAATTAAAGCTCAAGCATCCCCCTTCTGCCCCCTTGCCCCGCGTCGGCACAAGGCACCAGTTCCCCCCCAGCAGCCGGCAGGGAGGTCCCTCCGCCCCCACCTCTAAGCCCCCCTTTCTGTTGACAAGTTGCTGACCACAGACAGCCGGAAAGAGAACTGCTGACCTGGCGGTGAAGCGGGTGGGCTTCTGAGCTCCTAGCTTTACTGGAGAAGCTTTAATACAAAAACACTTTCGAAGGTAAGTTAGCAAAATAAACGCAAACCATGTTCAATAGAAATCACGTGACATCCTTGCACGGTCTTGTGCTTCTCCTACCCTCGTAACTCATCGTATGCTTTTATAGTCACTCTTAGTAATTATATTTTAAATGTATATCATATTCAGCAACCTCTTGCTCAAACCAACTGTTCTTATCAGCATGATAGACTACACAGTTGATTTGCTTATGTAGTTTATATCCAGGATACTTACTTCATGGATGAGTGTCTCAATTCCCAGCCCTAATGCTGCACAGAGGACATGAGCTACTATACACGTAGTCAGATGTATATATAGCTATATATATAGTCAAACTTCAAAAACTACAGCCATGCTCATTATTAAAATAAAAGAAATCTCCTGTAAAGATTAGCATGACTACAAGGACATCAGAAGTCTTGAAATGAAGCAAACTCCGTTTTAAAGAAAGATGTTTCGTGTTCATGCAGGAATTTCCGTGGTTATTTCCAGTATAAGGCTTTGTTTGCTAAAAGAAAAAAAAGGGAAGAAAAGCTACATACTGGTGGAGCACTAAAAAGTCTTCCTTTAGAAGGGCTTCAAATTTCCACCTACTGAAAGAGCAAACAGCATTTTCTTTATACTTTCTTAAGGGCGTATTGTGAAACACCAAGTCCTAAGCATCGACACGTATCGCAAATTC